ACTGAGACGCCGCAGTTGAATCAGATCCCGACAATTGTGCCGGGATCCGCCCAGCTGCCTGACTGGATAGGCAGAGCCAGCTGTACCCGCCCCCTCCCCTGTCCGTCAGCGCTGGCGGATCGGAGGGAATCCAGCCCCTCCCCTGTCACGGCAGAGATCCGAGACAGGATCGAGAGGTGAGCGAACGCCGGTATGTGTTCGCTCACCTCCCGATCTACGGAGCCGACCTGTGACAGTCTCATTGTCACAGGTCGGCTAGAACTATGAGGTGAGTGAAAAGCACTCTCCTTATAGTTCTCCTTTAACCTGCTGTTCTAATAATAAAGCCTTATCTGAGGGAAAAAGGTGTGTGCGCTGTTAATTGCATGCTCTCTCTATCACGGCAGAATTGGCAGCCCAATGTCAGGCTATAAGGGCCGCATGGTGGCTGACCGATCCATGAGCTCATCACTTATTTTCTCAAACATCTTCAAAAAGGAAGGTGCCATTGTATCCTCTATTAGGATTGCAGTTGGCATGGTGCTGCCCACGTCATCAGCTATGACACCAGTGCCCTGGAGGGGATGGACACCAGGCCATCCACAATTGGCAGCTCCCACGGTGGCTATAGTATTTTCACAGTCGGCGTCCGTGTTACAAACGACTGGCTGCAGTCAATGTTCCTGCAAACATTTTGGGAGCAAGGCCACACAACGCAAGAATTTCAGACGGTGCCGGCGAATCCAGCGTATGGCCAGCCTTATTTAAGTGTGTTTGCAGCATGTGCAAATTGTGTGACTAGATTAAAATTTGTAGGATAGGCCACTAAGAGGAGCACCATATTTCACTGCAATCACTCTGCCTCCCTGCTTAACTCCTCCCGAGATAAGAAATTGGCCAAAAAGGGAGTGCACTGGTCTCTGTGAACCATTAAGGGCCCCATTCACACCATGTCCGGATCATCTCCAGACCAGACTGTTTCCGGACCCAAAATGTATCCCAATGTATCCCTATGCTATTTCTGGCCTCTGTTTACACCAGCGTAGTCTGTTCGAGTCCAGAAATATACTACTTGTACTATTTTGTCTGGTCTGGAGTGCACTGGAATGCATAAAATGCATCAACAATGCATACAAACTATAAAGCACCTTTAAGATCATTTTAAGCAAACAAAAATGTACAAACGCGGCAAAATTTTGGCAAAATTGAGGTAAAAACACAATGCACTCCAATGCGTTCCAGATCTGGTCCAGAAAATGGTGTGAACCTGCCCTTAGAGAGAGGAACAGTACAGCAAAACCTCGGTACATCACCATTAGGTTCATTAGAGTTCTACCTAACACATGACTAACTTTTAGCAATGATGCACAAATTTGGGCCATTGTGCAATCAAACTTTATATGAAATGTAACTACGCATCTCATAGGATGAAATGAGCACTCAAACTCTGGAATCTGTAATGAAATCCCTGGGTGTGTACGGATTTGCTGAAGGGCCACAATTAAACCGTCTCTACTTAAAACAGGTGAAGATCAAGTAAGCGAGATTTGGCTTGATTGGAGCAATTACGAAAATTGAGGTTAAGCAGTCACAGGATGTGTGGAGGACCGAGGGATAGAAGATCAGCACATTGCAATGACATTCCTGGACTGTTGTGTTTTGCAGAGTCCCGGCACAGCTGCAGATCATAGGGGGCCCACAGCCCAGAATCCTCAGCGCACGCACTGAATACCTGCACACACAACTCCAGAGTCTGCTTTTGTTCCATACACCTGTCAGGCACTCCCTGGTACTCCATTCTCCTCCCCGCACACACACACCCTGAGAACACAACCTGTTCTTCTCCCTCTGCTGAGGTTTGCCCTGCGGTGGGAGAAAGACCCATCATGCTTGAAGAGAAAGAACAATGGGGTCCTGACCTGTGCCAGCCACCTTCTCCTCCTGCAGCAAATCTACAGCGCAGGAGATAAACGCAACATGGAGCAAAGGACCATCTACGACAGGGGTAGCCAAACTCCGGCTCGCCAGCTGTGGTGGAACTACAGATCCCATGACGCATGTCTCTCCGGGAGTCATGTCTGTGGCTGCGAGAATCTTGCAATGCCTCAAGGGATTTGTAGTTCCAACGCGCTGCGCTCACTTCTCGATCCTGTCCCTGCAGAGAGTGGTGACTGTCATTCACGGCTCCCTGCAGGGATTCCCGGCCCCGCTCCAATCCTCCAGCGCTGACTGGCGAAACAGACAGGGGAGGGGGCGGGCACAGCTGGCTCTGGATAGGCAGAGCCAGCTGTCAATCCCGCAGCTGGGTGGATCCATACAGTAAAGTCGGGATCCGTCCCGGCTGCGGCGTCTCAGTATATACTGAGCTTTGGGTTTGTGTTCTCCCGTGATAGTTTTCCTATGGGGAAAAGCCCTGACCCCATAGTTCTCCTTTAACAAACCCAAGATTCCAACTCCACCATGGCCAGTCTCAAAGCATGTTCTAATAAAGTATGAGGGCTGGACGGCATGCTAGCAACATAGCCATGTGAAAACCAACCACAGCTATAGAAACCGGCAAAACTTCTGTCCCAGAAAAAGAGCCTAAAGACGGCTACCTGGTTCCGATAAGTCTTCCCAGACTAGGCGTAGAGTAAAAGAATCGGTCTTCTCAATCAACCGCACCGTATAGTCTGCCAAACCCTCACACACGGCTATTCAATATTCAACACAATGCATGGCTTAACCTCCCATGTACTAGTACAAAATAACATGTTTCACAACTCGTATATAATACAAAAGGCAAAGGCATCCTCAAACATTCACACAATATGTCCAGAATGCCAAGGAATTCAGAAGACTGAAGGAGCGATCTGAAAAAGCTGGACTTAACAAGCAACCACAAAACATTGACCAAGCTCCATCAAAGACAAAGAGATTGGGGACTTGGCAGGTCAAGTGTATGCAGAGCCAAAACTTTTTTCTTTTTTTTAGTTTTGGATCGAGTAGTAGAACCTCTGTCCGGTTGTTCCTGCTTTGGATAGATTTGCCCTCTGGAATTTGTCCTGGTGGACATTGTCATGAGACAGAAAATGATGAGGAATCCAAATGTGTACAGGTATCAATTGATATCCATATTTTACGAACATAGTCCTGAGTGAGCAGGAGGTGGGGGGGAAATCTTCCACTTGTTTTGGTGACAACTGAAGGGAATTCCTCTTCTTGTAGAGATTTCATATCACTTCCTGTTATACCTCTAGGACCATTGGGACATCTTCCCAATAGTGATCTGCTGGGGCTTGGTGTGACCCAGTTCACCGGAGTTCGTCTAAACCAGGGGTAGCCAAACTCCGGCCCTCCAGCTGTGGTGAAACTACAGATCCCATGATGCATCTCTCTCTCCCGGAGTCATGTCTGTGAGAATCTTGCAATGCATCATGGGATTTGTAGTTCCGCCACAGCTAGAGGGCTGGGATTTGGCTACCCCTGGTCTAAGCCTAAACAAACCTGTGACTGACATCCCCCCTCTCGGCCCAATCAGTAGTGGCAGGGGTATTCCCTGGCCACAGCTGCACATCACAAAGGGCTGGACAATTCCCCTGTAACAACTGATTAGGCCTGGAGGGAGGTGTATCACTCACAATTTTGGGTGGGCTTGGGCGAACTCCAGCCAACTGGGTTTGCACCAAGCCCCTGCACACCGCTACTACACAATAGGACAGGGACTGCAAAAATAAACTGGCACGGGCTTAAAGCCTTCGTACCCTACACATACACTTTATATTGACGAAATATACACAACATAGAGATCCTAAACCATTCATCAGGCAATGAACCCCGACATTTCCTGTATTGCATGTACAGACTGAACCCGGCCAATCACTCAGCACTAGGAACATAAAATGTAGATATCACTGCCATCGCTCCCGGGTGTAGATGTCCAAGGCACGCATGTTCCAGTTCTGATGCCTAAGGCAGCAACTGAAACTGATCCCCACTTATTTCCACCATTAGTTTAGCATCACAGTGTACACATTGTAAAAAGCAAACAATCTGCATCTCCTTATTGCTGCGTAAACCAACACGGGGCGAGAAACTCATTTCCTGGCTGCTTTAGTAATTAAAGATTTCAGGTTTTGGTGGATGAGGACACTCTGTCGCTACGTTTACTTCTCAGGGACCCCAGGGGACAGCAAAATCTCCACAACTTCCTGAACAGATAGCTGGTGGGTGATTCATCCAAAATCAATATCAGGTTTGTGCAAACAAGTCCTTCGACTACATACCAAAAACACCCTGCAATGTAACAACCGGGGAATGCACACATCCTATATGAACTGAATTGCTGGGATGTACTGAATGATGGGGAAGACAGAGCAGAGCAAATTTCATTAAAAAGCACAAAAAACGGACATCAAATCTAAGACTGAAGGATCAGGAGACCATCTGGGTGATTCAAACCAAGCATAGGGTGAGCATTACATAAGCAAAGTTCGCTTTCAGTAAAAGTTGTATTTCAAAATGGAAAAACTTGCCCTTTGCTGAGAAATTTGAGTTTGTCACATCCCCGTCCCATCTACCTATTGGTCATTGGGTGCCCGTCCCATCTACCTATTGGTCATTGGGTGCCCGTTCCATCTACCTATTGGTCATTGGGTCCCCGCCCCATCTACCTATTGGTCATTGGTCATCCGGGCCTGCCCAACCGCCCCCCCTACATCCGGGCCTGCCCAACCGCCCCCTCTACATCCGGGCTGCCCATAGGGATTTCATGCGTATGTTTTTGACTCCATCACAAGCTGAAGGGAAACACTTTATGGAATTGGAACGGACAAGAATGTCACATTTGTTTTACATGTGACACAAACTTGTACCTTAATCTTTTTTTTTTTTTTCTTTCTTTGTAGCTGAACTTTATGACTCTGACAAACAGAAACTACGGTTCCATACTGGATGTCCGCACAGGAACAAATCGCAGGACATACGGAGGGAATAGAACAGTACCGCCCGCCATCTTCCATACATATAATGCCATTACTTACACACAAGAAGCTTCTCCATTCGAATACATTGTACATCTTGCTCCATGCTGACACGGTCTGTAAGTATCTAAACACTGGAAGCCTGCGGATGACAAAAGGAAGTGCGTTTAGAATATTGATTTAGTGCTGTGAAGCCAAATAATCCAAAAAAGTACCACTGGTCACCCCTGGCCAAGCCTTGTCAAGGGAAGAAGCAATTTAAAGAAGAACCCCAGGCAAATAAAATCTTAACTCTTGCAGTGGGGCCACCCCTGCACCGCAAGGGGTAAGCGCTCGTTTTGTCGAGGGGGCTAAAATAACATTGCTCCCAATAGGTTGAACTTGATGGGCTTGTGTCTTTTTTCAACCTGTGTAACTATGGACTTGCCGAACAGCAATACCGACCGGCTCCTAGACCGACCTCTTCAGCCTCACCCCCCTCCGCTCTTGCATTTAAAGATCCTGTAAGTCATCACATCCAATAGTGTATAGGACGGGAGGATGCTGAGGGACATGCAATCGCTGGAACGGAGGAGAGAGGCTGAAGGGACCCGTCTGGGGGGCAGCTGGGATTGCGGTTTGGGTGAGTTATTTTAACTCCCTAAGCCAAACGAGCAGTCAACCCTTGCAGTGCCGGGGTAGCCCCACTGCAAGGGTTAAGATTTTATTTGCCCGGGTTTCTTCTTTAACAGGTTAGAAATCACTGTATTTCCCTGATGAGCTAGCACTAGAGGGGCTTGCTTTGCATCTCCCCATTAACTAAAAGACAAACAGCCACCTCAATGCAACCATTCATGTTTAATGGACAACCCGAAAATTTAGATGCCTGATCGGAGACAGATTGCGCTCTCTGATGTCTATAGCCGACTTAAAGCTTAAGTGCACTTTTCCTTTTCTCCCCCCACCCCTGCCCTAAACGATCCCACTCTCCCCCATCTGCAGATCTGTACTTAGCGAGATCTGACGGGCCCGTTATCGTTTACATGCCGCTCCGCAACGCTCCCTCTGGTGGCCGCTCCTGCACATTACAGCCCCATGGACATCTATTGAGCGGCCTCCCAGCCAGAAGATGGACGCTGCCAGAAGAGGGAGACGTGAGGTGCTGGAGGCAGAGCCGTAGTTAGCTCCTTTGCGCCCCGAGGCAAGAATGAAAAATTGTGCCCCCCAACAGACGTGTGCTGTATGTGACGTCTTGCGTTTTTTACTGTTGGGGGGGCTTCGGGGAAATATCAGGGGACCCAACATTTCCCTTTTGAAATAGAAAAAGAGATTGAAGACACAGAGTCCTCTGCCCGTACAGGTGGGGGAGAGCAGCGAGGATCCGAGGAGAAGCTGGAGCCTGTGCCGCTCCTCTTCTCCCTGCTGAGCCGCCGCTGTATTAGCCTCCTGGCGCCCCCGTTGCCAATGGGGCCCTGTGCTCGTCATGGAAACAGGGGCGAGGGGGCGCAGTCAGGCCGGCCCTGGCTACGCCCCCTCTCAGCTGTGCCCGAGGCGAGTGCCTCACTCGCCCCATGGTAACTACAGCCCTGGCTGGAGGTCAAACAGTGCAGCTGTGGACCTCGGATTTCGGGAAGTAGAGATCTGCGAAGGCCGAGGGTGGGATCGTTTAGGTCAGCGGAGGGGCACAAAAAAAAAAAGTGCACTTAGTCTAAAAGGTGCCCATACACCTGGTGATTATCGTACGATAATCGCCAGGTGTATGGAAGGCGTGCGACCGTTTCTACTGTACGGTCGCACGTCTTTTGTCGAACCAGCATGCAAGAAAACCCGCCGAGAATCGTACGATTGTCGGCGGGTAAGTGGTGTGCTCGTTCGACAACTGCGGAAAGGGCCGGTGCGCGCACACTGCCCGTTCAGCATTGCGGTCATCGGAAGGCGGGGTGGGCTTGCGATTATCCCAAGTATGATCTGCCTGTCCAAGATGGGCAGATCATACGAGCTTTTAATTAGCTTACAACCATCGCAAGACAAAAGTCTTTGCGATGGTTGTAAGGTGTATGGGCACCTTAAAAGTGCACTTGTCCTTTAAGACATAAGCAGCCAGTAGATGATTTATTTAAATCAACATCTGCTCATAATTAAAATATACATTTTGGAGGGCTGACCGATGACAGCCCATTATAGACACCTGGCACACAAAACACACAAATCACAGCAACAGCACGAGCTCATAAACATCTCTTTAATAGTATCAGGACGTCGGTGAACGCGCGATAGCCTGTGTTGGGACAGGGTTAATGGGACATTATTAGAATAGACTTTTTTTTTCCCTTCATGTTTTGTTTTAGGGTGGGGAACCGTGGGAATGTCACACCTCCTCGGATTATTTACGGGGATACAAAAATGACGGGTGGGGTTTCGTTTTGTGGTTTGTGTTAACCTGAAATCTTAGACACATACCTGCTATTGAAACGAGGACAAAGGCTGCGTCAGGCCTATTGTATTCCTATTAGACGAGGGGTGGCGTTACTCTATCCAGAGGTTCTGACACAGGCTGTGCTTTTCCGAACCGGCCTCCACAATGTACACAAACTAAATCTTACCGTGGAGGACATTCAACACGGCCTGCTCAATAACAACCCGCCAGGAATACATTCCTTTAAAAAACACAATAAAACGTTTGGAGCCACACGACAATGAAGCGCCATAAACAAACGAGCCTGCGCACACTAAAAAAACGCAAGACCCGACGTGGACCTCAGATGATAGCCAGGTGAACAGTATTGCTGAGAGCAACCAGTTAAGAGGAACGTGAAAGGGTGAATAAACAATCTCTGCTGGAGAAAGTGCAGCTTCAAGCTCCCCCCAGTGCTGATCACACAACTGGAAGCCTAGGTTTTTCACCTTGTAATCTTTGCTGGAAGCGAGTCTGATGCTTCCTTTCAGCGGACAGCAAGACGAGTACCGATATTTCATTTCCCAGTACTCGCCGATACCGAACGCCCCGGTAAGGAATCCGGGCAGCGTGTAATGACTCACCGCCGGCTTCCTAATTAGCCGGGAAGCGGTCTTCATGCTCCCTCCTTACCAGGTGACGAGAAAGCTTGGAGCCGGCTGGCCAATCAGGAAGCCGAGGGGCGGGTAATGCGCCAACCTCCGGCTTCCTGACTAATCAGGAAGCCGGATGGCGAGTCATTACACACCGCCTGTCTGCCTGATTGGCCGGGAACCCGTCTCCATGCTCCCTCGTCACCAGGAAGCATGGAGCCAGCTTCCCGGCCAATCAGGAAGCTGGGGGGCCAAGTCATTATCCGCCCCTTGGCTTCCCGATTGGCTGGGAAGCCATCTCCATGCGCCCTCATCACTCGCCGCCCTCCGGCTTCCTGACCAATCAGGGAGGCCTGGTGGCAAGTCATTACACGCCGGCCATCTTCCTGGAGCCGGCTTTTCGGCCAATCAGGAAACCGTGGGGCGGGTAATGTTATGGGCAGTCATTACCCGCCCCACGGTTTCTTGATTGGCCTAAAAGCCGGCTCCATGCTCCCTTGTGACCAAGGAGCCGGCTTCCTGGTAAATCAGGAAGCCAGGTGCCTTGTAATGACTCGCCGCCCGGCTTCCTGATACCGGAAGTTCCGATATCGGAAAAAAAGTATTGGAAGCATTTGGGCGAGCCCAAATACTTGGTATCGGCGCCGACACCTATACTAGAATCTGTGCATCCCTAACTATTCTGTCTAGGGGGGCTCAAATAAAGGAGATCTACTCACCTGATCCTCGGTCCCTCCGGGCTGATAAGACCTCTGGAACTACTGAACACTTTTACCTGGGGGGTTTCACTGCAGGTAACCTCGGCTTATGTATTGTTCCACCAAGTATTCAGTCTGCATTGGACATGGTTATGAGGAGTTTACTTTCACAAACTAATTTCTAAGAAAAGTGTATTGAACACGTGTGATGTTTTTTTTTATACATTTGACCGGCCTGCAGAAAAACAAAAACACTGCTCAGAACAGTCCTCATCTTGTATTTTGGAGGTGGCAGGATCAAGATGGAGGGACGGAATTGGTAATAAGCCGAGGAGTAGGAAAGCTGAGAAGAGCGGGCCTTTAAAGCACCGACCGGGACAAAAGGAGCACACAAAACCCAAATTAAAATGTGCAAGTAGAAAACAAGTGATTACGCCAGAGAGGCAGAGAGATTAAGTAGACTCAAAAAACGTAAATGGGAAGAAAAAATAGGAACTTTATCAGCACAGTGAGACCTTGGAGAAGATGTTGTGAGAAAGTAAGGGGGGAAAAGATAAACAAAAAAGCAATTATAACAATACTAAGAAAAACACCAACACACAAACACCAAATTGTATATCTTGTTATTGTTACATTAGCGTGCTTGTAATTCAGGGACATGATTACTTTCTGGCATTAAAAGGGAACTATGGGGTCAGTGTTTTCCCCCATAGTTCTCCTAAGGTCTCGTTCACACCTAGGCGTATTGCATATGCGCGTCTGTCGTGCGACAAAACGCGCGTTTCCGAAGGCTACTTGGCTGTATCCCAATGGAAACGCGCAACAAAACGGCCCAAAGTAGTACCTGTACCTTTTCAGGCGTGGGCCGTTTTGTAGCGCGTTAGGGACGTGCGGAAATACGCCAAGGTGGGAACGAGACTATTGAATACAATGGGATTTATATTTTTGAGCGTTTTGTAGAGCGTTCGTCGAGCGTAGAACGTGCTACAAAACGTTCAGGTGTGAACGAGGGCTAAGGGTAACGCGAGGACACAAACTAGCGTCCTCCCATCACCCAAAGCTCAGAATACCGCGAGCTACAGCACCAAATGCGACGTTCGGGTGTGAACGGGGACTCATTCACCGTACTGTATAAAAGACAACAGAAACAGGACCGGACTAAAGAAACCTTCTTTCTCCTTTTATTAACATGGAGGGGAGAGGTTCTGTAATCCTCAAAAGATAACCAGGAACAATGTAACTGATAAGAGAGCAGCGCAGGCACAGAGCGCAAGAAGCTATCAGCTCACAAGATCTACAGCTCATTGTTTTGCAACTTGACAACAAAAAACATTTCCAATGGAATATTTAACGTACCTAAAAGGGACCAAGCAAGAGAAGTTCATTTCAGGGTGTACATATCCTTTAAGTTTGTCGCCC